AGGAGCCGTCTGGCCCACGTGGCCTGCATGCGATTCAACTCGCATTCAGCGCGCTGGGCCAAGAGCAAGAAGGGGGAAGGGTAAAGGATGGCGGCCTCGACCCGGAGAGGGACCTGCGTAGAGAGCACTGGGAGGCCGAATCCCCCGCTCTCCCCGGCGTAGAATAGCGCCTCGAACAGCGCACGACCACGGGCTAGAGTTGAGCGCAACAAGGGTTGAAACGAGAGGTCGGCATCAAAGAGGACGCCGAGGACTAACTTCTGGTCTACTACGGGGCAACCCACCCAGCCTGGGTTTGGGCTCCCATCCACGGCCATGGCCGCCGTCTTACCAGAGGCGTAGTTGAAGTCCGCACGGACAGCACGCGCGAACCGACTGCACGCTGAGTCCGGCTCGGCGGAGACGACGGCACGGAGAGCACCGGGGGGCGGGCACGCAACGGACAGGTCGTCCGAGAACTGAAGCGGCTGCAGGTGGTCAGTGCCGAGTGCGTCATGCACGGCGGCGCGGTCGGCTTCAGTCGGCTCCCCGCTTACCCACCCGGCCAGTTCCGCCGCGGCACGTGGCCCCGGCGTGACCTCGCCCAGTGCTGCGGCGGAGACCCTACCTGCGATGTCCGCGGCAGCAGCGACGGAGGGGGGCGGGGGGGCCCGGAGGGGGAAGGGAGGGGCGGGGTTGGCGCCATCGGGCAAGCGCGCCGGCACAACGCAGGGACCCAGGCTGCGCAACCTTGCGAAAGGACTATCCTTACAGCATCAGCTAGCCATTTCACTTGGGCGTTGAACACGAACGCCGACAACCGCTTACCCTGAGCAGTGCCGCACGGCAGCTGAAAGGGCTCGGATGCCAGCCCCTGGAGGGCCACAAACTGAGTGTCCATGTGGATAAAGTCGTCGAGCAAAAGCCACTCGTCCTCGACCACACCGCCAAGGAACGAGGACAGAAGCATGGCGTCATGCGAAGCTACGTCAAAAGCCCATCGAAGGTCAGTGAGCGCCCAGTACGTGGGCAGTGCTTGGGCACCACGGAGCTGCGCGTGCAGGAGCAGCGCGAGCAGGACCAGCAGGGGGTCCCCGACCCCGCCCTGCTGGCCCGCACCACAATACCGGGTAAGCGTGGGGCGGTTGCGCTGTGTCCAGAGGGCGTCCACAACCGCAGACATGACCGTGGAGATCGAGATGGGTCGAAGGCAGGCGACAGCACGCACCAATCGCGGCCCTGACTTATGGAGCGGCGTAAACTGCCTCTCGGACCAGCACGTGCTGGTCAGTCCACACGACCTGGATAGATTCGCCAGGGCTAACGTGAGGCGCCTGCCCTGCGGGCAGGCGGACTTAACAGATGCGTAGCAGCCACGGAGCGCGCTGGAGGTCACCTTGAACGACGCTAACACGTCATCCAGCTCACCCATGGTGTACAGGCGCCGACCCCTAGTGGTTGGGGCACCAGCGCGGGCCGCACCACTCTGGCGAACGGCTGAAACGGCGCGCGCAGTGGCGAGGATGGCCGCTGGGTCGTGAGGGAAGCCATTGTTCGCTCTCGCCTGGAGATCCTGCTCAAGGGCCTGGAGCACGGCATCCGCGCTCAGGGCCTGGCCAGTGGCAGGGTCAGCGAGAGCGATTTCAAACCGATCCTGCGCATTAAAGGAAGACAAATAACGCTCCGCGGCGCCCGGGTTCGAGGCCCGAAGTTGAAGGAAATGTCGGGCCGCGCCCTGTCGGGCATCCCAGGCCGCCTGCGCAGGTGCCCTCTTATACGCCTGGTGGTCGGAGAAATCCGCTGGAGCCAGCCCAGCAGGCCGGCGTCGCTTGTGGGACGCCGCCGACGACACCGCTCGGGCGACCCCCGCCGCGTGGCCCACAAGGGTGTATAACGCGTCCCGCGACCACGCGGCCACATCCAGCAGCGCTCGTCGCTGGGCCACAGAAGCCTGGCCCCCGCTCCACGGGGGGCGGAGCCACGGCGCATGCACGCATAGCTCAACCGAGGACGCTGCAGCTTGGAGAAGCGGCGCCACCGCCTCGAGGGCATGATCCCACTGGGAATCGGCGCGCCAACTGACACGACCGAACCCCACGTGCTTGGAGCGGTCGCACTGGCACGCCAGCGACCAACACAGCAAGCGACGGTCAGAGCACATAGCCACGGCCTCCTTGACAGTGACCGAGACCGCCTGGCCCAGGCCCGCGAGAACAAGATCGATGCACGTGCCTGAATCATGCGTGGGCACCGGCGGGTTGCAGGCAAAAAGCCTGGCAGCGGAGAGCATCGCCTCGATGGCGCGGTCCTCCTGAGACTGGCGGCAGTGGCCGCAGCTGCAGCCAGGCTGGTGCATAAGGATGTCAGACAAGTAGATGTTCGCGTCCCCCGCGACGAGAAAGGAGGCATGCGGGGAACGGCTCCGCAGCCTGGCTAGCGCGTCCAGGATCGCGCCCCACGTGGCCACGTCGCCCCCCGGCGCAGGGCAAACCGCGGCGAAAACAAGCGCTGGCCCAGGCACCTCGGCAGGGACGCGCGCCGACGGCCAGACTTCAAACCACTGGACCCGCGGAGAAGAAAAGTCCAGCAGAGGGCGGACGGCTGGGACTAATTCAAGTCTGAGGAAGATCCCAACAGCAGCCCAGGAGGCAGAGCGTTCGCCAAGCCAGCAGTATGGATATCCTGGCAGCAATGCCGCCCCTGGGGGTAAGCGCGCTCCCGGGGCGATACAGATATCGATATCCTCATCGTGCAGAAGCTGCGCCATCGCCTGCAAGCGCCAATCTAATAGCGTGTCCGCGCCCAGGCCAAGAAGGCCAGTTCGGCCCGGATTTAAAACAGCCATGCGCAAGAGCTGCTGGACGGCCTGGCCGTCGGACGGGGTCGCTACTTCGCCACCAGCGGCCACAGGGATAGGCCCTGCGAACGGTGAGATCACTGGCGCCGGGCTCAGCGCGGCAGGCTGCAAGGGGGGGGCTACCTCATGGGCCAGAAAGGCGCGCAGCTGCTTCCCCAGGTCAATCAGAGGCCCAGCCTCGCCATTTCCCTCCACGGCGAGCTGTAGCGGCGGCGTAGGCGCGCATGCGAGCATGGCGAGCACGTCACGGAGCGCCGCCCCCCGCTCCAGGCGTTTGGTTTCCACGCCTATCCAGCGGTTCACCAGGTCGCGCAGCGCCGCCAGCGGGACGTCGCTGCTGCCGGCAGGCATGCCCCCCCCGCCCTCCCGGCGCGAGCTGGCACCAGCGAGGTCAAGCACTGCGGGGCAAGGGTAACGGGTGTCAGCGGCTGCGGGGTAGCGCGAACGCAGAGCGGAGAAGGGGGCGGTGACGTGGGGGGCCAAGGCACTGGGAACCCGGGGAAAAAATAGGGCCAAGTAGTGAAGACGTGCCATGACATGGCCCCTGACCCCCACGTGCTGGAGAGAGGCGCCAGAAGGAGCAACCGAAGGACATGAAATTGCGAGGCTGGGTAAACCGAACATGTCTGCATCCAGTACGCGCACGCATGCATGCGACGAGTCATGTGACGAGGCCCTGGTCGACAGCTCCCCCACCGCACCCCCTTATCAACAACGATCGCCGGGTCGTCGGGATGTCACAGGCACGCATCGGACATGCGGGCGCGCGCGCAGGCTGTGCGCATAAACGCAAAGCGTCGACACAGTGAGGTATGATGTCACACGCGTGCAATACCAGGACGAAGGAAGGAACAACATAGCTGCACCATGCGAGCACACGCTGCATGGGCCGCAAGCGCGGAGGGGCAGCACTGCGAGGCTGGACGGGGCACGGAAGCAGCACAGGACAATGAAGGCAAGCGCCGGGTCCAATGGGCGACTGCTCGACCAGGCGCCTTTTTCCTTGCACGCCGCGCCAAGGCGTCGCCGATGCCCAAGCGTCGCGTCGAGGATGCTTTTTATGCAGGACGAATTAAAGCAATGGGCCCTAGCCTGCTAAATCGGGCCTGCACGCGCGCGTCCGCGCGGGCGCGCACGGCACCGCGCGCCTAGGCTTCCGGGGGCCGAAGGGGAAGAGAAAGCGCCAATTCCCTCGGAGAGAAGAGCAGGAGGGCAGCACTAGACATAGCAAGGGCTATCCCATCCGGCGGCGGGGGCGCAGGGGGCACGCCCATCCCCTCCCCCGCCAGCGACGGCAACACCAGAGGGGGCACAAGAGGAGGCCGCGTGACTGGCTGGCGGGCCGGACTCCGTCCGCAATAGAACTTGGCACCCATTGACACCGGACTCCGTCCGTTATAGTTGTGTCGGGCTGCTCGACGAGGCAAGCGGGGGCGCGAATGGGCGCCGCCTTAGCTGCCATCACCCGACGCCGACCGGGGCTGGCGCAGCAGCTCGCGTGCACTGAGGCGCTGCACTGGGGCCGAGAGCAGCCCTGGCGCCGTGGCCTTCGGCTCGGGGCCCCTGATCTCCGTGACCGGGCCGAAGAAGAGCAGCAGCTCCTCAATATGCGCCTCGAAGAGAGGGCGCGTGGCATGCATGACGACCTTGCCCTGGCCCCTGTCCTGCACCTGCATCGACAGAACTTGCTTGGGGGAGTTGCAAAACGTGATGTCTAAGCCAGGCTGCGAGAAGTCGCCCGTCACTACAGCAAAAGGGGGCTCTGCAGCGATGTGTTTCGCCGCCGCTCCACGGCGCGTGCCAGACAAAACCGCCACCCTCATCGCCATGACGGCGTTGTGGAGGTCGACCTCCGAGCGGCAGCACGAGGCAAAGAGGGCCGTGAGCCGCACGCGGCCATCGCCCTGCTTCGGCCCGAAAAAATCACGCAGTTTGCACAGCCAGCCGGAGACCGCGTCGCGGAGCTCAGCCTCGCTCCCGAGAGTGGCGAACTGGCGCGGGTCAAGCGCCGCGCCGGTCGGGCCGGCGGGGCACGGCATCGTCGGTGCGCGCGAGGGTTCCGCCGAGCTTTGCGCGGGGGCCGCAAATTGCTGCGACGACACATGCTGGGGCGCGGCCACTGGCGACATGAGTAGCGGCGCCTGGGCCGGAGGAGGCACCTGCGGTGGCACAGACACGCGCGGCGGGGGCGGCGACGGAGGGCCACAGAATGCCCCTACAACAGCACAACGGCCTCACAAGCGCGGACGCGTTCCGCTTCGCATGCCTGGACGCGCTCCTGGAGCAGCGCGGCACGTGCCGCATACTGAGCGAGCTCTGGGGGCTGGACGGTTTGCACGACGCCGGAGGCGCGATCTAACCACGCCCTCCCGCCCCCCGCGCCGACCAGCTCTTCCCAGCCCGCACGGTCTGCATGCAACTGCGCAAGCTCCTGCCGCAGGGCGGCCAGCTCCCCGGCGTGGTCCTTCACGGTGCTGGCAGCGGGCAACGCAGCGAAAACAAGCGGGGCTGCTTTGGCAAGGGGCACTGTTGGCCCGCTTGCCGTGCCCGCCGTGGGCGGCGCGGGCACAGCGGGAGCAGGCGGCGCAGGGCGGGGCGCGGTCGGCACACCTGCGGCGCCCGCCACGGCTGCCGCGCGCCCACCAGAGGCGCCCCCTACAGCCGCGGGAGCGCCGGCCACGGATAACTGGGCTGCCGTGGGCACGAGCGCCGTGCCCGGATGATCCCACTGAGTGCGACCTGAGCTGCGATGCTGAAAATACAACGCGCCGCTGCCCGCGTCACGCCGGGGCCCCCACCCCGGCGGAAGGGGCGGGGGGCTCAGAAGCGGCGGGCCCGGCGACGCGGGCAGCGGGCTAGCTGGGAGTGAGGCCGCCGCGGCCTTCGGCGTGGCTGGCGCCGCCACCCCTGCGTAGGCGGCGTCGGCCGCGCTCGCTTTTGGCGGCGGAGGCGGCGGCGGCGAGGGCGGCGGGGACTCTGGCCCAGCGCCGATCCACCTCGTCGGCGAGAAGCGCGGCGGGCTTAGCTCGGGGGGCCTCGCCTGAGCCGGGGACAGAACCGCGCGGCCCTTCGCCGCCGCCCCCGGGAAGATGCCCCAGTCGCCGGGGGGCGGCCCGGCCGGGAATGGGCACGGAGTGGCGGGCTGCGACGGGATCAGGGCGCTAAGCGCAGCACTGAGGTCGCCCTCCGAGCCGCATGGCGAATGGTGGCTGTCTGCCACGGGCGTCGGGCTGCATTCGCGGTCGCGGTCATGGTCACGGTCCCGACCCTGGTCACGGTCCCGATCGCGACGACTGCGATCGCGATCGCGGTCGCGGTCCCTGCCCTGGCCCCTGTCCCGGTCGCGGTCGCGACCGCGGGAGCGGTCGCGGTCTCTGCTCCAGTCACCATCACGGTCGCGGCGCCGGTTGCGGACTCGCTCCGAGGACGGCATGGCCGCGGCACTGGTTCCCTGAGCGGGCAAGGGGAACCCTCGGTCCGAGCGGGGGGCCTCAGAGCCAAAGCACGGGCACGTGCGGCCGGGCGCAAGATGGCGAAGCAAGACCCACGACGACGACGACGACGACCACGACGACGACGACGACGACGACGACGACGGCCATACCCCCTCCCGGGTCAGCCGAAGGCTGCCCGACAGACGGCCGGCGACCGGGGGGGACGCTCCGGACCCCGCCGCGGCGATAAGACATGACATGACATGAAAATGACAACAGTGGACTGCCCGGCAGACGGCCGGCGGCATACAAGGACGCACCCTGGCTATCAATGGAGACCGAACTAGCTGGGCCCCCCTTCACGGGCCCGCCAGGATATGACAAACATCTCATATCCAGCAGCCGCGTCTGCCAGAGGCGAGAGGCCCGACGGCGCGGCGCGAAGCGGCACGGCACGGCACCGCGCGGCGACGGCAGGGGCGCAAGACGGCAGGCCGCAACGACGGCACCCACGACACGGCACAGCACCCACGACACGGCACGGCACGGCAACAGCCCAGCACGGCACCGACGCCCAGGGGACGGCGGAACGCGAAGCGAAGGGGAGGCACATGTCAAGAGGCGACAGTCTGCATCAAAATCAAACACGAAGGAATCACCCAGCTGCAACGGACACAAGAAGGGCACATGGCAACAGAAGGTGAGAGCGGGAAGCGACGACGACGACGACGACGACGACGACGACGACGACGACGACGACGACGACGACGACGACGACGGCCACGCCCCCTCCCGGGTCAGCCGGAGGCTGCCCGACAGACGGCCGGCGACCGACTCCGACGCCCACCCCTTCCCGGGACAGCAGTGGTCTGCTCGGCAGACGGCCAGCGGCATACGGGAACGCACCCTGGCTACATCCTGGGCCTCACTCCCTGGGCGGGGTCCTGTCCCGACATCGCGCGACAACCCTCTCTGACCAGGGAATGGCGAGGGGGGGAGGGAGGGGGGAGGGGCGGGAGGGGGCAGGGAGGGGAGGCGGAGAAGCAGACAAAACCAGCCCCGGTTTCTACCCCGGAGGGGGCCTGGGACCCAAAAACCGGAGCCGGTTTTTGGGCCCAGGGCGGCGCCTCGACAAGAAGCCTTTGGCGCCGGGCACGACGACACGGCCAGAGGGGCCGGCAGCGGGCACTTTTCTGCGCTCGCTCGCACCCGCTCGGCATTCGGTGGGCC